TAAATGGGAAAAAAAAAGAAATAGCAGTAAGATTGCGTCTAAAACACAGGGCAACATACCCTTCAAAGTACTCTGCTGTGTGTTCTTTCATGTAAGGGAGTTTCACGTATGTTTGGATTCAGCGAGTTAGAAATCCGTTTCTTCTGGGAGCTCCGTTTGGACATCCCCGAGTGAATTGAAGTATATGCTTTAATTAGAAACATCTGGTTCTGATCTAGCAGAATGGTTGTGTTTGCATTAGACTTAAAAAGTTACCCTGATGTGTGTATGCAAATATTTACACACCCTTTCTGTGGAGAATCTAAAAACAGACACTTCCAGCAAAATCCTGATACTTAAGAAATAGCAGTAAGACTGCGTGTAAAACAGAGAAGAAACGTATCTTTCAAACTGCTCTGCTGTGTGTTCGTTGAATTACGAAAGTTGCATCTATGTTTAGATTCAGCGGGTTAGAAACCCGTTTCTTTTAGGAGATGCTTTTGGACTTTCCAGAATGAATGGGATTATATGTCATAATGAGAAACATCTGGTTCTAAAATGAAAACGGAGCTATAGAACACAATGGTTGTCAATGTGTGCATGCAACTTACAGAGGTAAAATGATTTGTGTATGCAGCAGTTCAGGAACCATGTCTGTGGAGAATCCAAAAAGACATATTTCCAGCAAAATCCCGGCATATAAGAAATAGAAGGAAGACGTAGTCTAAATCACAGAAGAAGCATTACATTCAAACTGCTCTGACGTGTGTCCGTTCAACTAAGGGAGTTGCATCTCTGTTTAGATACAGAGAGTTAGAAACACGTTTCTTCTAGAAGCTGTGTTTGGACATTCCCGAGTGAATGGGAGTATATGCTGTAATGAGAAACAGCAGTTTCTAAAACGAAAATGGAGCTATCTAACAGAATGGTTCTCAATGTGTGCATTCAACTTACAGAGTTAAGCTGATGCGTGTATTCATCAGTTTAGAAACCCTTTCTTTGGAGGATCTAAAAACAGACACTTCCTGCAAAATCCTGGCTTATAAGCAATAGCAGTAACTGCGCCTAAAACACAACAGAAACATATCTTTCAAACTGCTCTGCTGTGTGTTCATGCAGCTAAGGGAGTTGCACCTATATTTAGATTCAGCAAGTTAGAAACTCGTTCCTTCTAGGAGGTGCGTTTGGACATTCCTGAGTGAATGGGAGTATATGATGTAATGAGAACAATTTGGTTCTAAAACGAAAACTGAGCTAATAACTGAATGCTTGTCAATGTGTGCATTCTACTTACAGAGTTAAACTGATGTGTGTATGCAGCAGTTTAGAAACACTTTCTGTGGAGAATCTAAAAACAGACATTTCCATCAAAATCCAAGCATATATGAAATAGCAGTATGACGGTGTCTAAAACACAGAAGAATCTTTCCAACTGCTCTGCTGTATTTTACTTCACCTAAGGGAGTTGCATTTATGTGTAGAGTCATCGACTTTGAAACCTATTTCTTCTAGGAGCTGTGTTTGGACATCCCCAAGTGAATGGGAGTACATGCTGTAATGAGAAACGTATGGTTCTATAATGAAAACGCAGTTATCTAAAAGAATGGTTGTCAATGTGTGCATTCAACTTACAGAGTTAAACTGACCTATGTATCCAGCAGTTTAGAAATGCTTTCTGTGGATAATATGAAAACATACATTTCCACCAAAATTCTGGCATGTAAGAAATAGCAGTAAGACTGTGTCTAAAACACAGAAGAAACGTATCTTTCAACCTATTTTGCTGCGTGTTTGTTCACCTGAGGGAGTTGCATATATGTTAAGATTCAGCGAAGTAGAAACTTGTTTTTTCTAGGAGCTGCGTTTGGACATTCCTGACTGAATGTGAGTATATGCTTAATGAGGAACATCTGATTTTAAAACGAAAACGGAGCTATCTAACAGAATGGTTGTCTATTTGTGAAATCAACTTACAGAGTTAAACTGACGTGTGTATGCAGCAGTTTAGAAACCGTTTCTGTGGAGAATGTAGAAACAGACATTTCCAGGAAACTCCCAGCATGTAAGAAATAGCAGTAAGACTGCATCTAAAACACGGAAGAAATGTATCTTTCAAACTGCTCTGCTGTTTTTCGTTCAACTAAGGGAGTTGCATTTATATTTAGATTCAGTGAATTAGAAACCCATTTTTTCTTTTAGCTGCGTTTGGACATTCCTGAGTGAATGGGAGTATATGCTGTAATGAGAAACATCTGGTTCTATAATGAAAATGGAGGTACCTAATAGAATGGTTTTCAATGTGTGCCTTCAACTTACAGAGTTAAAATGATGTGTGTATGCAGCAGTTTAGAAACCCATTCTGTGGAGAATCTAAAAACAGATATTTCTAGCAAAATCCCGACATATAAGAAATAGCAGTAAGACTGCCTCTAAAACACAGAAGAAATGTATCTTTCAAACTGCTGTGATGTGTGTTCACTCAACTAAGGGGGTTGCATTTATTTTTAGATTCAGCGAGTTAGAGACCTGTTTCTGCTAGGAACTGCGTTTGGACATTCCTAAGTGAATGGGAATATAGGCTGTAATGAGAAACATCTGGTTCTAAAACGAAAATGGAACTAATAACAGCATGGTGGTCAAAGTGTTCCTTCAATTTACAATTATACTGCTGTGTGTATGCAGCAGTTTGAAACCCGTTCTGTGGAGAATCTAAAAACAGACATTTCAAGTAAAATCCCGGCATATAAGAAAGAGCAGTAAGACTGCATCTAAATCACAGAAGAAATGTGTCTTTCAAACTTCTCTGCAGTGTGTTCATTCAACTAAGGGAATTGCATCTATGTTTAGATTCAGCGAATTAGAAACTCATCTCTTCAAGGAGCTGCATTTGGACATTCCCAAGTGAACAGGAATATATGCTGTAATGAGAATCATGTGGTTCTAAAACAAAAACGGAGCTAACAGAATGGTTATCATTGTGTGCATTCAACTTACAGAGTTAAACTGATGTGTGTATGCATCAGTTTAGAAAGCCTTTCTGTGGAGAATGTAAAAACAGATATATCCATCAAAATCCAGGCATATAAGAAATAGCAGTAAGATGGTGTCTAAAACACAGAAGAATGTTTCAAAGTGCTCTGCTCTGTGTTCGTTCAACTAAGGGAGTTGCATCTATGTGTAGATTCAGCGACTTAGAAACCCCTTTGTTTTAGGAGCTGCGTTTGGACATTCCAAAGTGAATGGGAGTATATGCTGTAATGAGAAAAATATAGTTATAAAACAAAAACGCAGCTATCTAACAGAATGGGTGTCAACGAGTGCATTCAACTTACAGAGCTAAACTGATGTGTGTATGCAGCAGTTTAGAAAACCTTTCTGTGGAGAATGTACAAACAGACATTTGCAGCAAAATCCCAGCATAAAAGAAATAGCATTAAGACTGCATCTAAAACACAGAAGAAACCTATCTTTCAAACTGCTCTGCTGTGTGTTCGTTCAATTAAGGAAGTTGTTCCTATGTTTCGATTCAGGGAGTTGAAACCCTGTTTCCTCTAGGAGCTGCGTTTGGACATTCCCGAGTGAATGGGAGTATATGCTATAATGAGAAACATCTCGTTCTAAAACGAAAGTGGAGTTATCTATCAGAATGGTTGTCAATGTGGGCATTCAACTTACAGAGTTAAACTGTTGCATGTTTGCAGCATTGTAGAAACACTTTTTGTGGGGAATCTAAAAACAGACATTCCCAGCCAAATCCAGGCACGTAGGAAATAGCAGTAAGACGGCCTCTAAAATACAGAAGAAACGTATCTTTCATACTGCACTACTGTCTGTACGTTCTACTTAGGGAGTTGCATCTATGTTTAGATTCACAGAGCTAGAAACCGGTTCTTCTAGGAGCTGCGTTTAGACATTCTTGAGTGAATGGGAGTATATGTTGTAATTAGAAACATCTGGTTCTAAAATGAAAATGGAGCTGTCTAATAGAATGGTTGTCAATGTGTTCATTCAACTTACAGAGTTAAACTGCTGTGTGCATGCAGCAGTTAGGAACGCTTTCTGTGGAGAATCGTAAAACAGACATTTCCAGCAAAATCCTGGCATATAAGATATAGCAGTAAGAGTGTGTCTAAAACAAAGAAGAAACGTACTTTTCAAACTGCTTTGCTGTGTGTTCGTTCAACTAAGGGAGTTGCATCAATGTTTAGATTCAGCGAATGAGAAACCAGTTTCTCTGAAGAGCTGCGTTTGGACATTCCCTAGTGAATGGGAGTATATTCTATAATGAGAAACATCTGGTTCTAAAGCCAAACCGGAGCTGTCTAACAGAATCGTTGTCAATGTGTGCATTCCAGTTACAGAGTTAAACTGATGTGTGTATGCAGCTTTAGAAACCCTTTCTGTGGAGAATCTAATAACAGACATTTCCAGCAAAATCATGGCATTTAAGAAATAGCAGTAAGACTTCGTCTAAAACACAGAAGAAATGTATCTTTCAAACTGCTCTGCTGTGTGTTAGTTCAACTAAGGGAGTTGCATCTATGTTTAGATTCAGCGAGTTAGAAGCACATTTCTTCAAGGAGCTGTGATTTGACATTCCCGTGTGAATGGCACAATATGCCATAATGAGAATATCTGGTTCTAAAATGAAAACAGAACTATCTAACAGAATGTTTCTCAATGTGAGCATTCAATTTACGGAGGTAAGCTGATGTTTGTATGCAGCAGTTTATAAACCCTTTCTGTGGAGAATCTGAAAATAGACATTTCCAGCTAAATCCTGGCATATAAAAAATAGCAGTAAGATTGCATCTAAAACACAGAAGAGGCGAATGTTTCAAACTGCCTTGCTGTGTGTTCCTTCAACGATGGAAGTTGCATCTATGTTTAGATTCAGCGAATTGGAAACCCATTTCTCCTAGTAGCTGTGTTTGGACATTCAAGATTGAATGGCAGTATATGCTGTAATGAGAAACATCTGGTTATAAAACAAAAACGGAGCTTTCTAACAGAAAGGTTTTCAATGTGTGCATTGAACTTACAGAGTTAAACTGATGTCTGTATGGAGCAGTTTAGAAACCCTTTCTGTGGAGAATCTTAAAACAGTCATTTCCAGTAAAATTACGGCAAATAAGAAATAACAGTAAGACTGGGTATAAAACACAGAATAAATGCATCTTTCTAACTGCTCTGCTGTGTGGTTGTCAAACTAGGGAGTTGCATCTATGTTAAGGGTCAGCGAGTTAGAAATGCATTTCTTCTAAGAGCTGCATATGGCCATTACAGAGAGAATTGGAGGATATGCTGTAATGAGAAACCTCTTGTTCTAAAACAAAAACAGAGCTATCAAACAGAATGGTTGTCAATGTGTGCATTCAACTTACAGAGTTAAAGTGATGTGTGTATGCTGCAGTTTAGAAACCCTTTCTGTGGAGAATCTAAAAACAGACATTTCCAGCAAAATCTTGGCATGTAAGAAATAGCAGGAAGACTGCGCCTAAAACACAGAAAAAACGTATCTTTCAAACTTCTCTGCTGTGTGTTCATTCAACCAATGGAAATGCATACATGTCTATATTTAGCGAGTTAGAATCCCTTTTCTTCTAGGAGCTGCATTTAGACATAACAGAGTGAATGGAAGTATATGCTGTAATGAGAAGCATCTGATTCTAAAACAAAAATGGAGCTATAAACAGAAAGGTTGTCAACGTGTGCATTCAACTTACAGGGTTATAAAGATGTGTGTATGCAGCAGTTGAGAAACATTTTCTGTGGAGAATCTAAAGACAGACATTTCCAGCAAAATCCTGGAATATAAGAAATTGTTATAAGACTGCATCTAAAACACAGAAGAAATGTATCTTTCAAACTGCTCTGCTCTTCATTCGTTCCACTAAGGGAGTTGCATTTATGTTTAGAATCGGCCAGTTAGAAATCCTGTTGTTCGGATGAAAACACCCAAAACGAGAACACCTCTCTTCCTACAAGGAATCACAACTCCTGACCATCAAGGGAACAAGGCTGGATGGAGAATGACTGTGAAAAAATGACAGAATCAAGCTTCAGAAGGTGGGTAATAAGGAACTTCTGTGAGCTTAAAGAACATATTCTAACCCAATGCCAAGAAACTAAGAACCTTGAGAAAAGATTTGATGAATTGCTAACGAGAATGGACAAATTGAAGAGTAATATAAGTGAATTGATGGAGCTGAAAAACACTACACGAAAAGCTCACGAAGCATGCACAGGTTTCTACAGCCGAATTGCCCATGCTGAAGAAAGGACACCAGAGGTCGAAGATTAACTCAATGAAATAAACAAGAAGGCAAGATTAGAGAAAAAAGGGTAAAAAGGAATGAACAAAGTCTCCAAGAAATGTGGGACTATGTGAAAAGACCTAATCTACGTTTGATAGGTGTACCTGAATGCGACGAAGAGAATGAATCCAAGCTGGAAAATACTCTTCAGGATATTATCCTGGAAAACTTCCTCAACCTAGCAAAGCAGGCCAATATTCAAGTACAGGAAATACAGAGAACACCACCAAGGTATTCTTCACGAAGAGCAACCCCAAGGCACATAATCGTCAGATTCACCAGGGTTGAAATGAAGGAGAAATGCTAAGGGCAGCCAGAGAGAAAGGTCGGGTTACCCACAAAGGGAAGCCCATCAGATTTACAGCAGATCTCTCAGCAGAAACCCTACAAGCCAGAAGAGAGTGGGGGGCAATATTCAACATCCTTAAAGAAAAGAACTTTCAACCCAGAATCACATATCCAGCCAAACTAAGGTTCATAAGTGAAGGAAAAATAAAATCCTTTGCGAACAAGCAATTCCTCAGAGATTTCATCACCACCAAGCCTGCTTTACAGGAGCTCCTGAAAGAGGCTCTACACATAGAAAGGAACAACCAGTACCAGCCACTCCAAAAATAAACCAAATGGTAAGGAGCATCAACACAATGAAGGATCTATATCAACTAATGGGCAAAACAGCCAGCTAGCACCAAAATGGCAGTATCAAATTCACACATAACAATATTAACCCTAAATGTGAATGGACTAAATGTCCCAATCAAAAGACATATACTGGCAAATTGGATAAAAAGCCAAAACCCATTGGTGTGCTGTATCCAGGAAACCCATCTCACATGCAAGGATACACAAAGGCTCAAAGTAAAGGGGTGGAGGAAGATTTAGCAAGCAAATGGAGAGCAAAAAGAAAAGCAGGAGTTGCAATTCTCGGCTCTGATAAAATAGACTTTTATTTTAAAGCAACAAAGATCAAAATAGACAAAGAAGGACACTACATAACAGTGAAAGGATCAAGGCAACAGGAAGAGCTAACAATCCTAAATTTATACGCACTCAATACAGGAGCACACATACATAAGGTAAGTTCTTAATGTCTTACAAAGAGAATTAGAGTTCCACACAATAATAGTGGGATACTTTAACACCACATTGTCAATATTATACAGATCAACCAGACAGAAAATTGACAAGGATATCCAGGACTTGAACTCAGACCTGGACCAAACAAACCTAATGGACATTTACAGAACTCTCCACCCCAAAGCCACAGAATATGTATTCTTCTAAGCACCAGATCACACCTACTCTGAAATTGACCACATAATTGGAAGCAAATCCTCCTCAGCAAATGCAAAAGAACGGAAATGATAACAAACAATCTCTCAGACCACAGTGCAATCAAGTAAGAACTCAGAATTCAGAAACTAACTCAGAACTGCACAGCCTCATGGAAACTGAACAACTTGCTCTTGAATGTTGACTGGATAAACAATGAAATGAAGGCAGAAATAAAGACGTTCTTCGAAACCAACAAGAATGAAGACACAACATACCAGAAACTCTGGGACACATATAAAGCAGTCTCTAGAGGAAAATACGTAGCAATGAGTGCACATATAAGAAGAAAGGAGAGTTCTAAAATTGACACCCTATAGTCAAAATTGAATGAGCTAGTGGAGCAAGATCAAAAAAACTCACAAGCTAGCAGAAGACAGGAAATAACTAAGATTAGAGCAGAACTGAAGGACATAGAGTCACAAAAAACTCTTCAAAAAATCAGTAAATCCAGGAGCTGGTTTTTCGAAATCATTGACAAAATAGACAGACGACTAGTCAGATTAATAAAAAAGAAAAGAGAGAATAACCAACCTGATGAAATAAAAAATTATAAAGGGGATATCACCACAGGTTCCACAGAAATTCAAACCATCATAAGCGATTATCACAAACAACTCTATGCACATACACTACTAAACCTGGAAGAAATGGATAAATCCCTGGACACTTGCCTCCTCCCAAGCCTAAACCAGGAAGAAGTCAAAACCCTGAATAGACCCATGACAAGGTCTGAAGTTGAGGCAGAAAGTAAGAACCTACCACCCAAAAAAAGCTGAGGTCCACATGGGATCACAGCCGAATTCTACCAGATATACAAGAGAAGCTGGTATCATTCCTTCTGAAACTATTGCATATAATCCCAAAAGAGAGGATCCTTCCCAAATCATTTTATGAAACCAACATCATCACGATACCAAAACCCGGCAGAGACTCAACAAGAAAAGAAAACATCAGGACAATATCCATGATGAACATAGTTGCAAAAATCTTCAATAAAATATGGCAAGCTGATTGCAACAGCACATCAAAAACTTATCCACCATGATCAAGTAGGAGTCATCCTGGGAATGCAAGGCTGGTTCAATATATGCAAGTCCATAAACGTAATTCACCATATAAACAGAACCAAAGACACAAAACAAATGATTTTCTCAATTGATGCAGAGAAGGCCTTCGACAAAATTCAACAGCCCTTTATGCTAAAAATCCTCAATAAACTAGGTATTGGCAGAACGTATCTCAAAATACTAACAGCTATTTATGACAAACCAACAGCCAATATAATACTGAATGGCAGAAACTGGAAGCATTCCCTTTGAAATCTGGCATTAGACAAGAAGGCCCTCTCTCACCACTCCTATTCAATATAGTACTGGAAGTTCTAGCGAGAGCAATCAGGCAAGAAAAAGAAATAAAGGGTATTCGAATAGGAAAGGAGGACGTCAAATAGTCTCTATTTGCAGACGACATGATTGTATATCTAGAAGACCCCATCGTCTCGGCCCAAAGTCTCCTGAAACTGATAAGAAACTACAGCAAAGTCTCAGGATATAAAATCAATGTGCAAAAATCACAAGCATTCCTATACACCAATAACAGACTTAAAGAGAGCCAAATCAAGAATGAACTGCCATTCCCAATTGCCACAAAGATAATAAAATACCTAGGAATACAACCAACAAGGAACGTAAAGGACCTCTTCAAGGAGAACTACAAACGACTGCTCAATGAAATAAGAGAAGACACAAATCTATGGAGAAACATTCCATGTTCATGTTTAGGAAGAATCAATATCGTGAAAATGGCCATACTGCCCAAAGTAATTTACAGATTCAATGCTATTCCCGTCAAGCTACCAATGACCTTCTTCACAGAATTGGAAAAAAAAGAAAAACCTTAAACTTCATATGGAACCAAAAGAGAGCCCACAAACACAAGTCAGTTCTAAGCAAAAAGAACAAAGCAGGAGGCATCACACTACTGGACTTCAAACTGTACTACAAGGCTACAGTAATCAAAACAGCATGGTACTGGTACCAAAACAGAGATATAGACCAATGGAACAGAACAGAGGCCTTGGAGGCAACAAAGCATATCTACAGCCATCTGATCTTTGACAAACCTGATAAAAACAAGCAATGGGGAAAGAACCCCTGTTCAATAAATGGTGCTGGGAAAACTGACTAGCCATGTGCAGAAAGCAGAAACTGGACCCCTTCCTGACACCTTACACTAAAATTAACTCCAGATGGATTAAAGACTTAAACATAAGACCTAACACCATAAAAACGCTAGAGGAAAATCTAGGGAAAACCGTTCAGGACATAGTTTTAGGAAAGGACTTCATGATCAAAACACCAAAAGCATTGGCAACAAAAGCCAAAAGAGAGAAATGGCACCTCATCAAACTCCACAGCTTCTGCACAGCAAAAGAAACGGTCATTAGATTTAATTGGAAACCAACAGAATGGGAAAAGATTTTTGCAGTTTACCCATCTGACAAAGGGCTGATATCCAGATTTAGAAAGAACCAAAATAGATTTATAAGAAAAAAACATGCCCATTCAAAATTGGGCAAAGGATATGAACAGACACTTTACAAAAGAAGACATACATGAGGCCAACAAACATATGAAAAAATGCTCATCATCACTGGTCATCAGAGAAATGCAAATCAAAACTACATTGACATACCATCTCATGCCAGTTAGAATGGCAATCACTAAAAATCTGGAGACAACAGATGCTGGAGAGGATGTGGAGAAATAGGAACACTTTTGCACTGTTGGTGGGAGTGTAAATTAGTTCAACCATTGTGGAAGACAGTGTGGCGATTCCTCAAGGACCCACAAATAGAAATTCCATTTGACCCAGCAATCCCATTACTGGGTATATATCCAAAGGATTATAAATCATTCTACTACAAGGACACATGCACACGAATGTATATTGTAGCACAGTTTACAGTACCAAAGACCTGGAACCAACCCAAATGCCCATTGATGATAGTCTGGACAGGGAAAATGTGGCACATATACACCATGGAATATTACGCAGCCATCAAAAACGATGAGTTCATGTCTTTGGAGGTACATGGATGAGCCAGGAAGCCATCATTCTCAGCAAACTGACACAGGAGTAGAATATGAAACACTGCATGTTCTTACTCATAGGCGAGTGTTGAACAATGAGGACACATGGACACAGGGAGGGAAGCACTACACACTAGGGTGTGTTGGGGGGAAGTAGGAAAGGGAAAGTGGGGGGTGGGGAGTTGGGGGGATGGCATGGGGAGAAATGTCAGATATAACTGAGAAGAAGGAAGGCAGCAAATCACACTGCCACGTGTATACCTAGGCAACAAACTTGCATGTTCTTCACATGTACCCCAAAACCTGAAATGCAATAATAAAAAAAAGAAATCATTTTAATCTAAGAGTTGCGTTTGGACATTCCCTAGTGAATGAGAGTATATGCTGAAATGAGAAACATCTGGTTCTAAAACAAAAACGGAGCTATCTAACAGAATGGTTGTCAAAAGGTGGATTCATCTTAGAGAGTTATACTGATGTGTGTATGCAGCAGTTTAAAAGCCCTTTCTGTGGAGAACCTAAAAACAGACATTTCCAGAAAAATCCCGACATAAAAGAAATAGCAGTAAGACTCTGTCTAAAACACAGAAGAAATATATCTTTCAAACTGCTGTGCCTAGTTTTCCTTCAACTAAGGGAATTCCATCTATGTTTATATTCAGCGAGTTAGAAATTTGTTTCTTCTAGGAGCTACTATTGGACATTCCTGAGGGAATGGGAGTATATGCTGTAATGAAAAACATCTGATTCTTTTTTTCCCTTTATTCATTTTATTGCATTTTAGGTTATGGGTACTTGTGAAGAACATGCAAGATGTTACATAGGTACACACGTGGCAGTGTGATTTGCTGTCTTCCTCCCCATCACCTACATCTGGCATCTCTCCCCACTTCCCCATCCCCCACTGCCCCTCCCCTATTTCCCCCCAACAGACCCCAGTGTATGGTTCTCCCCTCCCTGTGTCCATGTGTCCTCATTGTTCAACACCTGCCTATGAGTGAGAACATGCGGTGCTTCATCTTCTGCTCTTCTGTCAGTTTGCTGAGAATGATGGTTTCCAGGTTCATCCATGTCCCTATAAAGGATATAAACTCATCGTTTTTGATGGCTGCATAATATTCCATGGTGTATATGTGCCACATTTTCCTTGTTCAGCCTATCATCAATGGGCATCTGGGTTGGTTTCAGGTCTTTGCTATTGTAAACAGTGCTGCAATGAATAATCGCGTGCACGTGTCCTTGTAGTAGAATGATTTATTATCCTTTGGATATATACCCAGTAATGGGATTGCTGGGTCAAATGGAATTTCTATTTGTGGGTCCTTGAGGAATCGCCACACTGTCTTCCACAATGGTTGAACTAATTTACACTCCCACTACACTGTAAAAGTGTTCCTATTTCTCCACATCCTCTCCAGCATCTGTTGTCTCCAGATTTTTAGTGATTGCCATTCTAACTGGCATGAGATGGTATGTCAATGTAGTTTTGATTTGCATTTCTCTAATGACCAGTGATGATGAGCATTTTTTCATATGTTTGTTGGCCTCATGTATGTCTTCTTTTGTAAAGTGTCTGTTCATATCGTTCGCGCACTCTTGAATGGGCTTTTTTGTTTTTCTCTTGTAAATCTGTTTTAGTTCTTTGTAAATTCTGGATATCAGCCCTTTGTCAGATGGACAAACTGCAAAAATTTTTTCCCATTCTGTTGGTTTCTGATTCACTCTAATGACTGTTTCTTTTGCTGTGCAGAAGCTGTGGAATTTGATTAGGTCCCACTTGTCTATTTTGGCCTTTGTTGTCAATGCTTTTGGTGTTTTGGTCATGAAGTCCTTGCCTACGGCTATGTCATGAATGGTTTTACCTAGATTTTCTTCTACGGTTTTTATGATGTTAGGTCTTATGTTTAAGTCTTTAATCGATCTGGAGTTAATTTTCGTGTAAGGTGTCAGGAAGGGGTCCAGTTTCTGCTTTCTGCACATGGCTAGCCAGTTTCCCATCACCATTTATTAAACATGGAATACTTTCCACATTGCTTCCTTTTTCTGGTTTGCAAAAGATCAGATGGTAGTAGATATGTCGTGTTTCCTCTGAGACATCAGTTCTGTTTCATTGGTCTATATCTCTATTTTGATAGCAGTACCATGCTGTTTCAATTACTGTAGCCTTGTAGTACAGTTTGAAGTCCAGTAGTGTGATGCCTCCCACTTTGTTCTTTTTGCTTAGAATTGACTTGGTTATGCAGGCACTCTTTTGGTTCCCTATGAAGTTTAAGGTGTTTTGTTCCAGTTCTGTGAAGAAGGTCATTGGTAGCTTGATGAGGATAGCATTGAATCTGTACATTACTTTGGGCAGAACGGCCGTTTTCACGATATTGATTCTTCCTATACATGAACATGGAATGTTTCTCCATCGGTTTGTTTCCTCTCTTATTTTGTTGAGCAGTGGCTTGTAGTTCTCCTTGAAGAGGTCCTTTACGTTCCTCGTTAGTTGTATTCCCATGTATTTTATTCTGTTTGTGGCAATTGTGAATGGCAGTTCCTTCTTGATTTGGCTTTCTTTTAGTCTGTTACTTGTGTATTCCTATTTGAATACCCTTTATTTCTTTTTCTTGCTTGATTGCTCTCACTAGAACTTCCAGTACTATATTGAATAGGATTGGTGAGAGAGGGCATCTTTGTCTAGTGCCAGATTTCAAGGCGAATGCTTCCAGTTTTTGCCCATTCAGTATGATATTGGCTATTGGTTTGTTGTAAATAGTTTTTATTATTTTGAGATACGTTCCATCAATACCTAGCTGATTGAGGCTCTTTAGCATAAAGGGCTGTTGAATTTTGTCAAATGCCTTCTCTGCATCAATTGAGATAATCATGTGGTTTTTGTCTTTGGTTCTGTTTATGTGGTGAATTACATTTATGGGCTTGCATATGTTGAACCAGCCTTACATTCCTGGGAGGAATCCTACTTGATCATGGTGGATAAGCTTTTTGATACGCTGTTGCAATCGGCTTGACAGTATTTTATTAAAGATTTTTGCATCTATGTTCATCATGGATATTGTCCTGAAGTTTTCTTTTCTTGTTGAGCCTCTCCTGGGTTTTGGTATCAGGAGGATGTTGGTCTCATAAAATGATTTTGGAAGGATTCCCTCTTTTTTGTATTGTTTGGAATAGTTTCAGAAGGAATGGTACCAGCTCCTCTTTGTATGTCTGGTAGAATTAGGCTGTGATCCATCCTGGACCTCGCCTTTTTTTGGGTGGTAAGCTCTTAATTTCTGCCTCAACTTCAGATCTTGGTTATGGGCCTTTTCAGTGTTTCGTCTTCTTCCTGGTTTAGGCTTAGGAGGAGGCA